ATGTCTAATATTAGCCAATGGCTAATCAATTCTCAGATTTTACTTGCCAGTGTGTGAGTTGGAGGCTGAGTGTATGATTAGCACAGATAGATTTTCACTCACAGAACACTCTGACTGAGCACTTCAGAGTTTCACTCTCCATTAAGCGATCTGTGATATTTTTCAGTTCATTTGAATGGATGTGCAGCGCACCTGTGTTTGTGTATTTGGCGTAACGTAAACTCTAGTGTGAAGGCGCACATCTCGCTGACGCGTGTTCTCACACGCGCAGAGAGAGAGAGAGAGAGAGAGAGAGAGAGAGAGAGACTTACATAACATGCAGAATTGATGTGATACACGTAAACGATATTCTTTGTTTTATTTTCCTGCCAAAATAACAGAGTTCCTTTGGAATTCTTCAGCTTTTAAGAAATGCCGGGTTTTCCGGTAGTGGGCGGAACTAATGTGCAAACGACAATCTCATTGGCTGGTGCTCACCAATTATCGTCCCTGTTTAGATTTCAGCAAATCAATTTGAGCGAACGCACACAACCTGATTAATATTCATGAATCCAGAAGCTCGTTAATCTTTGGTGTGCTTTATATTGTTCTTATTATTCGTATAATAATAATAATATCTTATCAGTATTATTGTTCGTTTTTCTTTCTTTCAATTTTTTACAGGAACACTGAATGACCAAAAAAAGCACCAGCACCAGTTCTAAGTTCATGGTTTTATATATAAATATATATAAGTATAGTATTTCAGTCTGGAGAGTAAACTAAAAAAAATTTTATTAGCCAATGGCGATTCAATTGCCAAGGTGTCCGTAGAGGGTTGCGTTTACATGTGCAGTCTGAAACATGCCTTACTTTGTGCAAAACTATAAAACAAGGAAGCTTTGCACTGATCACTTACAGTTTTTGAAGCTCATCGAAATGTGATACTGTTGTAGCCTAAGAGGAGGAACAAAGAAATTACTCTTAAACATGACTGTCCACCAACAAGCAGAGACAGATTCGCCTTCATCCAGCAACCCACACACATACCTGAGTGTTGAGCTGAGTCTGAAGATTATCAATCTGAACTTTCAGCATTTTGTTTTCTTTAAGAAGATCCTATAAACGACAACGTTGTGTGATGATCTGCAGCCATATAACATGCATACATGCTTCTTTAGAGTTCGAGGAGTACAGTGATTCCTCAGGAACCTACCTGGACTTGTTCCTGTAGTTGGTCGTCAGGCTGCATGGTGTGCTGAGATGCCTCCAACAGCTGCATGACCTTCTGCTCCAGATGCTTGACCTTCTGCTGCTCCTGCTCTTTAAAGATGAGCGTTTCCGTCAGGCTGCTGTGGAGAGTCTGGATCTCCTTGTTTTTACTGGTTATCTCGCTCTCCACAGCCATCATTTGATTCTGCAGCTCTGAGAAGACACAGAAGACACTGGTTAAGTGGTGTGTGCAGAACACTTGATGTCTGTAAGAGGGTGTGCATGTGTTTCTACCTTGTTTAGCAGACTGAAGCTTTTCTCTCTCTGCACTCACGTTGTGCAAATAGTTCTGCAGCTCTTCCCAACGACGTTTCGCATCCTGCAACAAAAGATACAAAACAGTTTCAACTCAATAGGGATTAAGTAGCTAAAAGTAGTGGCGCTACAAACAGATGCTACATTTTAGAGACATTAAAGAGAAGCTCAGCTGTTTTCAAGAGTTCCTGTAACAAGCTAATTCTGCCAACAAGCAGTGTTGTAAGGAAAATCGAAATTGAAACATTAAAAATACAAATCAAAGTGCATAAAGTGAGCAGAGGAAATAATCAAAAACACTTCTCTAAAAATTCCCGTAGGGCTGCTCGATTATGGCAAAAATCATAATCACGATTATTTTGGTCAATATTGTAATCACAATTATTTAACACGATTACGAGTGGGCCACATGACCAAAACATTATATGAGTGATTTATATAAAGATAGCGATATATATCAAATATAGATTTTCTGTAAATAAGGTTGCTATGACATCTACATTTTAGAGACCAGCGAAATTTCACAATTCTCAATACCACAGCAGAATACTAGGGTAACTAATATTAGTAAAAACAAAGTCAGTCCTCAAATTATTGAAAATAATTAAACTGTCAGTAATAAAAAAGCAAAGGACAAGTACAATAGAAAAGATACAAATGAAACAAACAGTACTTTACGTTTTTTAAGCAAGTATTCAGTTAACAGTCTACTACAGAATCTGAATAATCAAATGTAAAATAAAACAGCATAGTCTTCACTGTAAGAATTAAACTTCCTTTGTTTCTTATTATAGCTACAAAAGTCCTTCAGTCAAGAGCAGTGAGTGATTGTCTCTTTGTTTTTTGTTGCTTGATTAATATTAAGCACACAGTCAGCAGCAGGAATATTAGCCTGCTGTCACTTTAAGAGTCGCATGGATCCAATTTACTGTTACACACATATTTTCATTCTCAACTGTTTACGTTAACTGAAGACATAACCAATGAGGGTTTACGTGAATAATCACCAAGTGCCACATTTTAACACCTTTTTGCGTGTATTTAGGCAAGCACCTTAAGCTAAAAGTTGACTTTACATGTCGGGGTTCCGTTTCGTTTCTGAGCGCGTGCACAGAAATCCTCCTGAAGAACAGCGCAAGTTCTCTTTCGTGCTTTTAAAAACATGAATAAATCTAATCAACTCTAATAAATCAAGCATGTCCCATTTTGCAAAAGTCACATTACATGATTTTACTGATTTAGCGCACCGCTGGAAAGGGGGCTGTTTTCCTTGTGCAGTTCTGACTGCATTTTTTTTTTATTATGAGTAGCTGGGCAAGCGACGCTGGTTTTAAAACAGCTTTCAAAACTCTTCAAATGAAGGTCAATTAGCACAGCATCTGAACATGACTGTTTAAACTAACATCACACCTCTAAACTAGTGCAAGGTAGTTAGCTACATATTTTATACACATCATAAAACTTTTAAAAATGTTTCTTTTATACATTTTGTAAATGCCTTGTTCGGTGTTATAATAAAAATGGGACTCATGGGATGTTAAAAAGTTAAGTTGTTAAAAGATGTGTATTGTGCAAGGCTTTGAGACAATGATGTGACAGGCACCTCCAGCTGGGAAACATTTTGCTTGTAGTTGACTTCTAGACTCTTCCGTTGCAACTCTTCCTGCTGCAGCTTGTTTTTGGTCTCTGCTAGCTCTTTCATCAGGCCGTTGCATTCTGAATGCAGCTTATTCAGCTCGGATGACTGCCTGAAAACACACATTAAAGGTAAACCATCCAAGTACGCAAAAGATTGTGGAAATTTTCTGTGTTTCCACCAATCCTGACACTTAAGTGCCTGAAAATTCCAAGTGTCAACATGGAAGTGCTCTAAAGTGGCCATAGCATGAGGAATTACACTTTCTTTGGTCTTCTGAGATAAAATAGCTTGACTGATCATTTCAGTCTGACTTTAAAGGGATAGTTCATAACTTATTACTATCATTTTAACAGTTTGTGCCACTTCTGAACATGAATTGTTCTGTGAAAACCCTATTTAATTCCAAAAATGTTTTAGAAAAAGGCTGGAAGATGATCATGAAAAACTACATTAGGAATCTTGACACTATAAGTGGACCAAAGGAGGGGAATTTGGCAGTTGGTAGGACTCACTTGGTCTCCATCTGGTTGGTGGTGGAGCATCTCTCCACAGCATCCCTCAGGATGCCGTTTTCCTGCTGCAGTTTATGAAACGACGATTCGTCTCCTCTGTGTCTCTCTGCATCACCCTAGCGCCATTTTGGAGAATTTGAGCTGAACGCAGGCAGCGTACGCTCTTCTGTGTCAGCCGCACCACAAGGATGTGTTTTCTCGTGTATTTACCCTTTGATTAGAAAGAAAACAGCGCATCCTTGTGGCGCAGCTGACACAGAAGAGCGTACGCTGCCTGTGTTCAGCTCAAATTCTCCAAAATGGCGCTACGGTGATGCAGAGAGACAAATTGTTGAATAAAGTCGTTATTTTTGTTTTCTTCGCATACAAAAAGTATTCTCGTCGCTTCATAACGTTACGGTTGAACCACTGATAGCAGATGGACTATTCTGAGATGTCTTTCATACTTTTCTGGACCTTGACAGTGCAATTTACTTGGCAGTCAATGGGACAGTCACAAGCCTTCCGGTTTTCATCCAAAATATCTTAAATTGTGTTCCGAAGACGAACAAAGCTTTTACAGGTTTGGAACGACATGGGGGTAAGTGATTAATGACAAAATTTTCATTTTGGGGTGGAGTATCCCTTTAATATGCCTTCTTTAGGCCAAATTCTAAGGCAGGATTGATGACATCCTTTATAATTTCAAGAGGGTGGAGAATGCAGGGGGAAAAGCTGATTATGAATATACTTATAACTTATTCAAAATGGAAAAGCATCAATAAAAATTTTCTAAATAATTAAAATCCAGCTATATTCCCCTTTCTGTGTGATACTGTAAAAAAAAACTGTAATAAAAGATGCCAAGTACCTTTGTTAGTTTCGCTCTTCTGTTTCTTGCCATGTTTGGTGGGTGCAGGAGCAGGGGACGGAGCCTCATTGTTTTGGTTGCTCTGGTGGTTTGTCGAGGTGGTGGAGTCAGTCTGAGTGACTGGGGCTGAGGACTGGACATGTGCCTCAGCCACTGAAACACATATGACCACAGGAATTATTAAAGCAATACTTTACACAAAACTAAAATCATTTACTCATCATTATGTTGCTCCAAACCGGTTTAACGTTGTTTCTTCTATAGATCATAAAAGGAGAAGTTTAGAAGAATGTTCATGCTGCTTTTTTCCATACAATAACAGTGAATGAGGTGAATGAACACTTCCAAGTTAAAATGCACTACAGCAGGGTCAGAATTTAACTGGGGCTTGTGGCAAAAATACTACCAAAATGAACAAAACTACCATACAAATTCCAGATAATGAGGTTAAAAAAAATGTACAACCCCTGCACAATTAAACAAAATATATTACGGCTGTCGCAGTTAAAATAAAATGTTAAAATGCAGGGAATTACCGTTAGATCTGCGTGCGTTGCATCAGATTTCCTTTTATGTGTTGTTTTTCGCAGCACTGAGAATTACAACCAATCACACATTTCCAATGGAAATGTGGCCAGTCAGAGGCTTTTTGATTAGTCAGTGCTGTAAACACCGGAGTTCTGTTGCGTGTACGCACTTTACTGACTGAATTCTCTCATTAGAAACAATAAACTGCAGATACGATGCAAGTAAGAGATTAATTTAGCCTATTAGAAGCTTCAGTGATTGTAATTTGCATTAGACTACATCATGAACCAAAATGCTTGTCTGGAGCCAAAATTTGACCTGCCATTTCTCCAAACAAAAAAATGTTTTTATATGTATTCTATTAATCGACATAGTTAATTATTCCTCTTGATGTTGTAATAATGTTTATTTATTTTTCATAATATTGCAGCCCTACTCTGTTACAAGGTCTTTTTTTGAACGTAGAATTTCTTTACAATTTGAAACAGTTCGTTGTTATTGGTAACAGTTAATAGTATTCTGATTGGTTTATGCAATTGGTTAAATTTAAGCATTTGGCATAAAAGGCAACACAGATACAATGAATAATTAATTATAAAAATTGCCCTTACAAGGATAAAATATGCCCCTGGAAATCAATCCTAGGGGGCAAATATTGCCCCTTAATGGAAAAGTTCATTTCTGACCCTGCATTGCAGTAGTCCATAGAACTCATAAGTCCACAAAAATATTTCTCGACTATGCAGTTTGAATTTGCTCGAGTGAGATATGAAAGCATATAGACCACTTTTCTATGATGCTTTTTTGCTCCTTTTGGTGTGTCACAACCACTGGTCATGGTATAGTTTCCTTGCAGAGAAAAGAGCAGCATACAGAACACCTTCAGAACATCTCCATTTGTGCTCCTTGGAAGCAGTGTTGTTCTCAATAGCGTCGCTGTTTTCTGAATAAAATAACTTTTCAGTAGCAAAGCTCTTTATTGATCAAGTAGTGTGGTAGCGTCCACACCAGCTACATTTTTCCAAGCATTTCTGAAGCTCGAGCTCAAATCGGAAATGCAAACCCAGGTGCGAATGCATGAACATACACTCTCGATACCTGGTTTTGTTTTTATGTGGATTCCTTTTTTTTTTTTTTTCCAAATTGGTTTCAAACAGTTGTTGAATAAACAACTGAACTGAACAATTATGCCTGCCTATCTGTTTGACTGATAGTTTTATTGATCACTGAGATAGCGCAGACTTGGAATGAAGTTGGTTCAATATAAAAATGAAATTGTAAAAAATAGCTTAAATGTAGTAAACTTATTTTGCCATGTTGCTGTAGCTTTGCTTGCTACATTTCCCAGAGGGTAGCTTCAGTGTAGTGAAGCTTCATTTAATGTAGAGTAAATGCTAGCTTACCTCACTACAATTTACAAGTAGCTTGCTCAACACTGCTTGGAAGCAAGTCAGTCATATGGTTGGAACAACATGAGGGTGAGCAAATGACGATAGATTTTCATGTTTAGCTGAATTAACCCTTTTATATTGTGTGATATGGGCTTTACAAAACCTTGTCATATATCTAACAGACCAGATGCCCATGTTATTGATTCACTGATCTTTCCCTTTTGCTCTCACTGTTGACTCAACTGAGAATTTTAACCTTTCTAGTCTGATTTTGGCTTATTCTTACCTGTGATGACAGGTTCCACCATCATAACTAAAGTATACTTTTAGGCTTTACAGTTCAAAAGCTGGATTGCCCTCATGAATGAGAACATTGCACATTTTCAAGGAGCAATTGCATGGCATTTGCATAAGACATATTCCTATTTGTAGGTAGTCCACTCACCAGACTCACTCTTCTGCTTCTTGGCTTTCTTTTTGCTGGTAGTCTCAGTGGGGGCAGGGGGCGTGGCCTGAGGCTGTGGTGGGCTGGACTGTTTGGTCAGGGGGAGGGGCGGATCCTTACGGACAGCAGGTTTGGAACCATTGACTTCTGGTTCTTCTGAAGTTGGAGGAGTAGTTGGGGTTGTACGAGAAAGGGGTACAACTGTTGGGGCAGCAACTGGAGCAGCTGTTGGAGAAGCTTTTGGCTTTTTCTCTTTCTTTTTTCTCTCTCTTATCCCGGACGGAGGTTCTGCCAGGACCGGAGCAGCAACAGGTGGACTCATGGGCACCACCTCAGAATCTTCATCATTCGAGATAGGGCTAGTGGCATCAGATGTATCAAAATCCCTCAGGTCTTCCTCTGACTCGCCACCCCCACCTCCTCCCAATCCACTTCCGCCAGTCTCCTTCTTCTTGTTCTTCTTTTTCTCGTTCTTTTTACGAGTATCGGGCTTGGCGGGAGGCAATTTGAGGTCTCGTTTCTGGCGGGCCAGAACCTCATCGTAGGAAGTCTCTTTCATGAAGAGCCAGAAAAAGAGGAACATGAGAGCAATGACCAGCGACGGTGCCAGGATGAGAAGGTACTGTGAGTCAGCCATGTCCAGCGCCATTCTTGAAGAATGCAATAAAGAACAGAAAGACAGAATTGAGCACAAATGTTCAGTCCAGCAGGATGCATGACAATAGGGCCAAACAGCCACTTGACAAATGCAAAAGAATCAAAATTGGCCGAAATACAAACATGAAAAAAAACATAATATCAAGACTACTTAACCAAACCAGATGGTCACTTACTAACACAATGCAAAAGTTTGGGAGTGGCAACTAAGGGTGTGCGATATTTATCGTCTACAATTTTACCAATATGGGAGCTGACATAATCGAGTATGTCACTCACTTTGCAAAAAAACAAACAAAAACAAGTCTTGAGAGTCCAAAACCATTCAATGCTTCATGAAGCCTACTGGATGACACTATACTTGAAAAGTTATTAGGGCAAAAAATATCCCTGAATGAGATTTTGTTTTGGATATTTGTAAGATATGATATAAAGTAATATCACACAAGTAGGAACACAGTTTTCCCAAATATCAGCTCATTATTGCGATCGTAAATGTGTTGATTTTATACAAAGGTTGAACAAAAATGTAGTTGATATTGAGTGAGTTACATTTTGGACATAATATTGTCAGTTTTTCCCCAACAAAAATATGTTCAAAAAAGCTGGAGCAAAACTGTTGTGCGTCTCAGAGCAGCTGCAATTTTTCGTGCTCTAATGAAATGACCAAGTGTGCCTTATCTGACCTAAAAAGTGAAGCCAAATCTTTGATCGTCATCTGGTGGCCGGCTGCAGCATAAGTCATAACTCCACCCTCTCCATATAAATAAAAAAAAATGGGACGTCTGGTCTAGGGCTGTAAAACAAAAAATTAATTTAGAATATTCTTCGAATTTAAAATAAAAATCCACATTCAAATGCAAAAACATTGCATTCGGATTTTAGGTGTGCGTCAGGCAGCCTTATCAGTGGCGCACGAAATGCGACGACGATGTAAGGGTTGCATTTTAACGCTTTTGTTAGCCTATCCAGTTGAACCCACTAGATGCGGCGCTGCTACGTTGTTCATTCAAAATATCGCAGAAAAAGAGAACAATCAATGCGGGGAAGATGTTGTTTACGTCAAAACCAAAACCAAGCCGTTCACACAGAACGCATATTTACCGCATTTTCTAGAGGGACATCTATCACTGCTGCACTCGCGTCTTGCACAAGAGAGCCGCATGTTTAAAATGAATGCAAGTTCAACTTTTAAAAAACATGTCTCGAGACTTCCGACAGACAAAAGATGCGGTCTTAACTTTTAATCAGAACGCAGAACAGCTGCATCACAGGCGCACCAGCCTAACGAACTCACTCGTTTTTCCCGCATTAACCCTATAACTGCCGGTGCAGCAAAATAAACAGCAATTTCACAATGATTATAAAGTCTGTGCGCTACACTACATTCTTTATTATTAAACGAAGTAATTAGAACGTCAGTCTACATTAATCGACACATTCTTAGGAAATAGTGGGTTCACAGCGAATTATCAGAACTACTTCAGTAAGAAAGCAATATCTTACCTGGAAACCTAAAGCTGCACTAGGTGTACATCACATATTAGCACAAAAACGTGATATTTTGAGCACTTTGAAAATGTACATATAACGTATCAATCGTACTTACAGGTTGTGGTTCGGAGAGCTTGTTAGTCGAATTGTATTTCTGTGGTATCCTTGAACACAGCGTCTTCTCAACATGATGTAAACACTAACTAGCGGAAGTGTTTGTGGGCAGGTCAGACTCTGTTTGTATTTCGCGGGCAGGCGGGATTATGCAAATGTGTTACCCAGTGACATATACCGGTAACAGGCAAAAGATTCGAAAATATGACGACTCGTTAAGGCGATTCAGAATCGACTCTCTTGAGAGACAATATATTTATTTATCATGCACTTTTTGATTAACAACTTTGCAGATTGTTTTCATTTAAGGATAGCTACGTTATAAACTGCAAAAGAGATCTTTTTCAAAAACCAATATGACCTGCTCTTTAAGCAACTAATTATATATGGTTAAATAAACGTTAATGCACTTTTTCAAAGATAGTCGTGTTATTTTATTATGCTTTGAAGAAACGTGCATAATATTTTGTTCGATGCGCCCTCTTGTGGCCTCAGGAGAGAAGCCAAAAGCTTTTTTCCCCCTAACTGAAATTATGCCTTTTAAATTAGAATATTGATCATATTAAAGTAAAAAAATTCAAATTTAGTTTTTCAGCCATCTTGACAGCCCTAGTCTGGTCACACTAGTACTGCATTAGGCTAACCGAGACTTGTCATTTGCACTTACCATATTGTTGCTCTTTTGTTAGTTATGATTGCTTCTACTGTCCTCATTTGTAAGTCGCTTTGGATAAAAGAGTCTGCTAGATGACTAAATGTAAATAAATTAATGGGACATGAGCCAAACTAAACAGTCAAATTACACTTCAAATAAATTTTTCCCAATGATGATTTCCTTCATTTTAGGTCAGAGGTCCCCAACCACCGGGTCGCGACCCAGTACCGAGCCGTGGAAGTGTTGCTACCGGGTCGCAAGAACGTTCTGGGAAAAATGTGTATGACACACTGTTATTTATTGCGCGTTAATGATTGTTGTAATTATTCTGTATTTTCGTTTTATTGTATGCGATTGCTATGGAGTAGCAATTTGACGATTTCTTGTAAATTAAATGTTCAATTATTAAATTAATGATTGTTCTGATATGTCATAGGCTATATTACGGGTTAAACAAATCGCAGTTGATCTGTGATACGTATGGAACAGGCTCCACAGTATAGGCACGCATGTGATTCGCAGATTAATATGCCAATTTACAAGTTCAAGCGATTTTAAAAGAACAAGAAGCAGCGAAAGAACTCTATTCATTACTCAGGCACTGTTTTTAATGCGTGCACAGCAGCTGCACGCACCCAAAGCACGCACTCCCAGAAAATATTGCCTAATTAATGTTATCACCAAAAATATCAAGACTTTACTTTTTGTCAACATCGCACACCCCTAGTGGCAACCGCATTACATCTTGCAGCTGCAAAACCACAAACATAGCTGCTAACAGTTTGCCAACAATTATTTGTACATATAAGCCTAATGAGACAGCACAATAAGAGTGACCCCTGTATTTAGCAGCAGTGTGTACATGGTGATATGGCGTCCTTTTCCTGCAACTACATAACGCTCTTTGGATATTATATTGCTTTTGTGGTAGTCTAATTCTAAGCAACAGACCTACAGGTAAACCACATCAGATTACCCCCTCAGAATCAGAATCAATCTCATTATCATCTTAAACATCTTGAGATAAAGTTGTGTATTGTCAGTTGCTATCCATTTGTACTTTCAGCAGGCAATGCATAACAGAATGCCTCAGGCAAAGCAAAAATATCACACCTTGGCAAACTTATTCAGCAAATTGCATAAGATGTTCTAATATGGCCAACCAACAGTATTCACCGACTGCCCAGGAACGCCGCCTCCTCGGTGGTTGACTTTTACTTGCTTCTCTTACTCTAAAAATCACACCTAATCACCTCCTCTATATTTCTGGCTTGTTTGTTCCACCTCCACCCTTTCGCAGTGGTATGATCCAATTAGTACGTGTGCTGAGGGCAGCAATCTGGGTTTACTTATTGACATCAAGCTAAGCACCACACTCACTCTCACACATCCACTTTTTTCAGCGAGAACAAAGACTGTAAATGAGCAATATGATCACTGAGCTATTATTTAGCAAAAACAAAGCTAAAACAGCCTCTATCATATAAAATAAAGCATTTGTTTGTTGAACAGATGACACTGTGGAGCTATGCAAAGCCAGAGCGGTCATTCAAGACACCCATCGCTAACTCAATTGACATCCTAAACTCAAGTGCAGAGGGGCTTTGCAAACAACAAAAATATCCAGCCGGGAAAATATCACTCGGATGCGGAGTGGTCGCAGATCTGAAAACGGCACTGATTCCCCCTTCAATGATAATCTATCCAAAGCTTAGCCATTAAAAAGCCTCAGTGTGGCCGTTTAAGGAAAAAATGGTTTTAGTATCAATATACTATTATAGTTTTTGTTCATATTTTGATTTAGATTTTATTTTTATATTTTCTGTTTTCATTTTAGGTAAAGTTTTAGTACTTTTTTTGTGTTTTTGACATTTTAATAAATTTTTTAAAAATATGTCTACATAGTTGTTTTTTTATTTAGTTTCCGTAATTTTAGTAAACTAAAAAAACTGAGAAATGTTGCCTTGGGAATTAGCTGAATTTTTTATATTTTATTTTAATTAAGGTAATGTTTTTTATTTTAAGAACCGGTTCCAAATTTCCAAGAACCGGGTATTCGACAAGATGCGTGCATTTCGATTCTGCTTAACAATTCCTGCGTTCGCATTTTAATGCGATTAAAAACGATTTAAGTGCAGGAACGGAAAGAACTTGTGCCCTGTTTGCATGCAGCGCACACGAAGCGCAAGTGCGAGCACAGAGAACAGAGGTTGTGGTACGGGTTCCCAGTATGTGTCCGTTCTCGAACCATTCCGTGTATTTCCACTGTAGAAAAGGTTGTTCCGGGCCGAAATTGACTTTTCATATTTGTCGACCAATATGCAGAAAATTACGTCAGTATATCATCATAAACACAGCCGTTTTTGTCTTACGTGAATGTAAACAGATGAGAAAGAAAACACACATGTACAGTATTTTTAGATCTGCGTGTGTTTGGTGTTAAAGAGAAAGCAGCCTAATAAATGCGCTGCCTGTCATTAATGTTAATCAAAGAACAAAGAAAATCATTCACTGATCTTGACTGAATATATTTAATAACTTTAAAGGGGTCATATGATGTTGCTAAAAAGAACATTATTTGGTGTAATGCAATGTGTTTATGCGGTTTAAGCTTAAAAAAACACATTATTTTCCATATAATGTACATTATTGTTGCTTCTCTATGCCCCACCTTTCTGAAACGTGTCGATTTTTACAAAGCTCATCATTCTGAGAAAGCGAGGTGTGCTC